AGTTTACCATTAACTTTAAAAAGAGCAAAGTTGGATTTTATGCAGTACGCCTGACAATACAACCTCTATTTAAAATGAGCATTTTGAGACCATGCTTGCTAATGGCTAACTTCGCAGCACAATGATCCCACTTGTGTTGCCAGTAGCTTGGAGAGCTTTGTGTGAGAGTGAGTGAAGAAGCCTATAAATCACCATCTAACCCACTGAGATATTGAAAGTGTTTTTCCACCCAGTTTTGCAACTTGGCTATTAGAACTTTGCTGCTTAGTGGGTGAGCACACTTTTCCATATGTGTGCTTTGCAAAAGATCTTCTGTTGAGGTCTGCATTAATAGCCAAAGGCATCATTTCCTGTTTCGTATCCCTTCCAAACAGCGGTGGTCACAAATAATTCTATTTCTGGTGGACTCCAGGCAGTAGCCCCTTGCTACTAATGTGCTAAAGCTGCTAAACTGAATTACAGCCTTCTTTATCTTGTACATCTTTGGTTTCCTGAGGGTGCAAAAAGCTCACGAGAGGCAACAAATAAACAAATAAACTTTCCTCTCTCCTACTGGGATGTGGTTAGAAGATCTGAGTTGCTGGGGTTGGGAATTCCAGGTATTGAGAGCCTCCAGACAGGGCTCAGTGGGAAGTGAAAGCTTCCTCAAGGTTCTGGGTTACTCTCAGACCCTTTTTTCTTTATATAAACCAAACATTTTAAAATCAAGCTCCCCCCACCCTTCCCCTCTCTTTTGTGCAGTGCTGCAGCTGGACTGGACTTTTGTGCTGAACTCCAGGGCTCCAAATGGCCTCCCAGAGATTGCCATATGATGGTACCAGTGACAAACAGGTCTGGAATCAGCACCTGGGCTGGGATCAGCATGTCAAAGCCCCCTGGGGTTGATGCAGGTCATAATAGCTTCCTCCTTCCCCTCTCCCCACATTTTAAGGTTAGGTTGGGTTAGTTTTAATATGTACAGCCCGTTTTTCCTATTAAAACAACACTCAAAAGTGGCTTACAGTGTAACGTAGCAAAAATACAATGTGAAATGTAGTGGGTAAAGCTACATATTCAATATCAAGAGCAATAATTTATTCCAGCTGCTGATCATCTTGTGTCCCCAGCAGAGCAGACCTCTCCCCAAAATACCACCCCAAATTACTGTCCTCCCCCACCCCTATAACAAAAGGGTGCTTATTCCTAAGGTAAATGCATTTTCCATCAGAGAAGTAGAAGCAAACCCCATATTGTTCTCATTGGCAAGATGGTGCCATGACATAAGTTACTTTAAACCTGCTACTTGGTCATTCCAGAATGGTAGCAGGCAATGTATTTCCATATAACATATCATGGTGTATTGTTTCTTTCTGTTATTCCCCCCTCTCTTCCTAATACAGATTTGCCTTATATTTTCTCTATCTTCATGTTAGTATGGTATATCTACACTAAAATTAATTCAAAATATTCATTAAAACTGCAAATGCTTAGAGTATTGGGGGAAAACAACCGAGGTCAACAAACCTTTTTTTATATATTGCTCTAACATACTATGAATATTAATGGATGGGAGAGAAAAGTTTGTTTTACAGCTTGCAACTGAAGTAGTACAGTGGTACCTCAGGTTACATACGCTTCAGGTTACATACGCTTCAGGTTACAGACTCCGCTAACCCAGAAATATTACCTCAGGTTAAGAACTTTGCTTCAGGGTGAGAACAGAAATTGTACTCCGGCGGCCCAGCAGCAGCGGGAGGGCCCATTAGCTAAAGTGGTGCTTCAGGTTAAGAACAGTTTCAGGTTAAGAACGGACCTCTGGAACAAATTAAGTACTTAACCCGAGGTACCACTGTACAGACAACCTATAAGGGGTGGGGTGGGGAAGTAAGAGCATAAGTTGAAGAGTAAATGTTTATTACTTGTCCAGTAATGTTGTTTGGAATGATGAGTTTAACTCTGTTCCAGTTTGTAGTGCACTCTTGGGGTATGCATGGAAGGTTTGTCTGAAGAATTTTGGTTAGGCTTAAATGCCGGTTCAATTCATCTGCTTAATTAAGGAATCTGTTCCTAGGTTCATTTCCCACAGTCTGGTCTTGTTCTTACTCATGGTGGTATTATTTGGTCAGTTTTAGGAAAGGATAAAAATCTTACTTATGTATGATGATGCTCCACCAGCTCAAATTATGCATGTTTAGATTTTTCTCACTTTGCTGAATGTTTTTCACAACTCCAGAATCCATTTCTCCTGGACAAGAAAGCGTAGATGCTATATATCTGCAGATAACTATCTGGAGCTGGTGCTATATTTTACATGCATTTCTTACCTGGCTTTCAATCTGGTGCGCCCAATACTGCACCCCCATCGCACCAGTCTCCCAATCTGGGAAGGTAGCAAATCTAAAAGAAGGAAGGAAAGAAAGAAAGAAAGAAAGAAAGAGAGAGAGAGAGAGAGAGAGAGAGAGAGAAAGAAAGAAAATTTTGATCCCAAACCTCCACTGCCTTGTTGCTATACTCATTTGTAAGAAAGGCTTTGGGAGTAAACCCTGTGGAAAAATCAGTACCCATTGCCTTTCTTTGGGAGAAGAAACGGCTGAGGAGGAAACCCTACACAAATCTGGAGTGGAGTCCCTAAGGCAGTTGGGTGGTGCCTTGTACATCTATTTCCAGCAACTCCTGCAGCCAAGCTGGTGCCAAATAAAAGGTAAAGGTAAAGGTACCCCTGCCCGTACGGGCCAGTCTTGACAGACTCTGGGGTTGTGCGCCCATCTCACTCAAGAGGCCGGGGGCCAGCGCTGTCCGGAGACACTTCCGGGTCACGTGGCCAGTGTGACAAGCTGCATCTGGTGAGCCAGCACAGCACACGGAAACGCCGTTTACCTTCCCGCTAGTAAGCGGTCCCTATTTATCTACTTGCACCCGGGAGTGCTTTCGAACTGCTAGGTTGGCAGGGAACTGCTAGGGAACTGCTAGGGAACTGCTAGGTTGGCACCAAATGGCTGGTGCCAAATCTGCTTTCCTTTGGACCACACCAGCAAGGCCGGGGTGCGTGTGTCTTGTTTTCTGGGCAGCCCAGGACCTCCATCCACACTGTCCAGGCTTGCACCCCAGAGAGGTCACTTTGGTGCTGCTAATGCAGCAAAAACGTGGGAGTCAGCAGTTGTGAGTTACCAGTCTCTGCATCCACAGCAGGCGCTGTGATTCTACAGCGGTTTGACTTCGCCCCCGGAGGCACACTCCATTGTCTTTCAAGACAGATGGATGCCACCAAGAACAACAGGTATCCCTTCCTCCTCACCACTACCCTTCCTCTTCAGAAATTGTTTTCTTCTGTGCCAAACTTTGAAAGGAGGTTGAAAGAGGCAGGAAAATAAGTGAGGTGGGATTGGGCTAATGGTTGCAGAGCTATTTCCCTTTGGAAGAAAGCACTTCAGATTCTGCGTGCAGATAAACCTTTCCAAAAAAAGCATCTTGCTATTTTCATTTGCTCTGGACGACAAGTGATACATCAAAAGTTGCTCATCTGACTCAATTACCTCTCTGCAGGAGGCCCCAAGAAGATCAGATATAAGTGTATTAATGGAGCACTCCCTTTGAAACTTTCCATTAATGCTCATGGAATTGTGGCTGTTAACATCAGGAAGCTCTGAAATCCAGCAGAGCTATTATATGTACACAAAAAGCAGCTAGGCATTTCAAGTCACTTGAAATTAAACAGTTACTTAGAAACTCCAAAGACAACACACACAGAGAGAAAAAGCATGCTTTCTCCATCTGAGCTAAATGAACTTAAGGAGCTTTGAACATGAACTCCTCTTTTCACCATCTGAATCAAGGAGAATACGCTACGTATGTCACTGGCGAGCTGTAGGCAAGCCCTTAACTTGTGAGGATGTGGTATGCAAAAAGAATAGCATTGCTTTTATTGTAAATTCTGCCTCTTTGTCTGTGTCTTATTTTATTTATTCTGTATTATACCATATCATATCATATTGTGTCTATTATTAGTCGATGATTATCATTATATATTCTATTAGAACTTTGTATTAATTTTATGTAAAGTGCCTTGCATAACTTTGTTTAAAGGTTTGATATAAATAAATAATAACATTGAAAACCAGGTTCTGGGGAATCTGAGGCTTGGAGGAGCCACAATGCTTAATAACCTGCCAATGCTTGTTGCACAGCCCCACCCCACCCCCAAAGATTGCCTACAAGCTGGAAAAGATCCTTCCATCTACATAGTAGGGTTGTGCATCCTGATCAGAATGTGGCCGATTCAACATTTAACCAGAACAAGTTCAGATGCAAGGCAGGTTCAGATGCAGGGCATCACTGAAGATGCAGAGATGAGCAGAAAAGTAAATTCTTTATTCAGGAAAACAGCATACAAGCAGAGAGGTCTCAGGCAGAACCAGCCCCTATAATGGAGCATCTATCCCCTCCTTCTCTGCTTCATAAGCTGAGTCTGAGCTGCTTTCTGCACCCGGCTCTTCTTGCTCACTAAAGCCTGTTGCTTCTTCAGCATCCAACCATTCCTCCCCTCCCCCTCTGATCTGTCCTCAATGTCTCACCACCACTCCTCTGGCTCTCAGGCTTCCCTAGGGGGGCTCCCAGGCTGGTGCCTCCCACCACTCCTCCTCATCCAGCCAGTTCTTGACATCAGGCAGCCCCTGGTTCACTGGGGTGTGGCCCACCTGGAGTAATCCGGGGCTGTCAAAAAGGGGCTGTCACTTGGTAGGGGCAGGAGCAGAAAACAGTGAAAGCTGAGATTCCTGCCTTCCTTGTTTCCTTCTCTACCACCCTCATCTCATTGCCATTGACAACATGTGGTACATAGCGTTGGATTTGGAGAATTAAAATACATTTTGGGCTCTTCTTGCCATCTGTTTTGTCAAAGTTTCTGACATGGAGAAATCATAGTACCAATCAAGTCGAGATGTTAAATACACATTTTCATCTAAAACGTACATTTATTTAAAAAGAAGAAGTAGAAGTTAGTACGTAGCAGCCACTTGATATCTAATGCTCCCTTCTACATGACTTGCAGTCAAAACCCTATGGAATTAACTAGTATTTCTATATTTTATTTTCATCAGGTGGTTGGTGTGGCACAAGCAATCAACAAGAAGTCTGGTGGTGGAGGAATATTCACTGAGCAAGATGAGAAGGTATAAATGATTGGCTTCTCCTCACTTTCCATGACAGCAAAGCTACTTCAAGTGCCTCCACCATCTGAGGTGGGGCAGGTAGCTTCTAGGGAAAGGGCCAACTAGGTGGTAGCACCCTGGCTGTGGAGTGCTTCCCCCAGGGAGGCTCGCCTGGTGCCTGATTTAATGTCATTTAAGCACCATGCTGAAAAGAGTTGGCTTTGGAAAATTCCGCTGGCCATTAGTACCACCTGGGTTCTTTTGACTTACCTGCTGTCGGACTAAGTGGCTCCTAGTTTATTCTGAATTTTGTAATTTGATTGTCTTTTTATTTTTGCACATTTCTTTGATATTAAGGATGAAAAGCAGTACATAAACGTTTTTCTTTAAAACAGTTTTCTTGTAATATTAATATTCTGTAAGCTACTTGGAAACTTGTTAGAAAGTGAAGAATCACCTAATGAAACAATAAATAAATAGAGTAACATGAACTAATTAATGTTTCTTTCAGTGACCATGTGAACAGCACAAAAGTAAACCACTTTTCTACTGACAACAGTGTGGGAGTAAATTAATGCAGTTTGGAAGCATTCAGACATTTGGAAATTATATTCAGAAGTACACCACTCATATATATTCTTATGTGAGTGGTCTATACATTGAAACAAAATACAGTGGTGCCTCGCAAGACGAAATTAATTCGTTCCGCGAGTTTTGTCGTCTTGCGATTTTTTCGTCTTGCGAAGCACGGTGTTGGGAAAGTTTTGGAAAACCTTCAAAAATCACCAAAGTCTTTAAAAACCTCAAAAAAGGCTACCACACCGCGTTCTATGAGTTGCTCCTCGAAGTCAAGTCGCAACTGTATTAACCGTGTTAAGAAAAAGGAAACAAACTTGCAAGACGTTTCCATCTTGCGAAGCAAGCCCATAGGGAAAATCGTCTTGCGAAGCAGCTCAAAAAACAAAAAACCCTTTCGTCTAGGGAGTTTTTTGTTTTGCGAGGCATTCGTCTTGCGAGGTACCACTGTAAATAAGCATTCTGTGTAACAGAGCTTAGAAATTCAACAATTTCATTCAAATATAGACTCATAGGAGTTGTTGGTATACACAGATAATTTAATTTCCTCTCTGTTTACATGAGTTTATTCTGGATTGTTTAGTCTGCTTGAACATAGTACTAGAGCCTCAAAGTATTGGGATTCATCCAATGAAGACAAAAGTCAGTGTTTCTTCACATGTCGCATAGTTAAAACTCTAGAATTAGCTTCCCCAAAATGCAGTGATGGCCGTCAGCCCAGATAGTGTTAAAGGGGGATAAGACAAATTCATGAAGGATAAAGGCTGTCAGTAGCTTTATTATACATCCTGGATCAGAGGCAGTATGCCTCTGAAAACCCATTGCTTGGAAACAACAGCAGCAGTACAGGCGGCGACCATTTTGCACATGTCCAATTGATGCGCGACCACCGCCATGTTGATGCGCGACCGCCGCCATGTTGGACCTGGAAGAGAGTTGAATGGGGGCGTAACAGAGCAGATTATGTCCACTCCACTGACGTGCATGGGGGCAAGGAACAGAACTCCCCCCGCAAAATGGCTGCTTCCCGTTATGCTATTGTTCTCATGTCCTGCTTGTGGGCTTCCCAGAAGCACCTGGTTGGTTGGTCAGTGTGAGGAAACAAGATGCTAGGCTAGATAGGCCTTCCTCTAATCCAGGGGTAGTCGACCTTTTTATACCTACCGCCCACTAATGCATCCTTCTGGATGGTAAAATTTCCTTACCGCCCACCAATGCTCAATGGAAGGAGGATTCAGCTTGTTCCGTAGAACCCTCTACCACCCACCTAGAACCCTGAAACACCCACTAGTGAGCAATAGGGCCCAGGTTGACAACCCTTGCTCTAATCCATCAGGGCTCTTTTTATGTTCTTAACAGAAATCACTCATTTATGAGCTTCTTATTCTTCTTATTTATTGAATTTGTATTCATTTGTAAATCTCAGGGCAGTTTCTATGATGAACTATGATTGTACCATCATTATATCTATTCACTGTTAAATCTTCCAATACTTCCCCAATCCAACTCCCCCAGATGCAGTTGGACCACAACTTCCATCATCCCAAGTGCTGGCTGGAGCTGTTGGAAGTTGTAGTCCATAATATTGAGAGGGGACCGGTTTGGGAAAGGCTGCTCTGTGCTACTAGCTGACAAACATTGGCAATAGCAGGATAAGAATTCATTCATCCTGTCTAAATGGAATGTGTGACGAACATCTGTAGGACATCAGAAGTAATATATTTCCTAAACAAAAATGGCTCACAAGTTTGCTATGTAAGCAAAATTTGATTCCTACTTTTAAAACACATAATTTATTGTATGACAGGGGGCTATACCATGTGTTCAGTATTTAAGGCTGACGTAACTTTTGGTGTGTGTGGTTCCCCAGAACTACTTATTATGGAATACTTTTATCATGACAAAATAGAGATAAATATTGCATGGGTTGTGCTCAAGAATGCACTTATTCATGAATAAATACCTTGATGTCACTGATACTTCTTAAGTAAGCTGTGGTTAGAAGTGAGACACATGTTTCCAAAACAAATGCAGAACTCCTGGCAACTGCTGACTAGCAGAACAATTTTATGTATAATTGTCAAAAAATAATCTCAGACACTCTTTGATAGCATCTGTAGATTGTTTTTATTATTGCTCAGGGAAGGAGACTCTTTATTTTATTTGCTTTGGACCAAGTTGATGAGGGTCTCTGTAAGACATTGTGCACTTAATATTGCAAATAAGACATTCCATTGTCCAACTCTGGTTTTGTGTTTGCAAGAATTGACCACAAATCTTTACCACTGGGGATATGGTCACAGGTAGAATTGGGTATTTTCGGACAGTATATAAACAACACTCATTGCTACTAAAGCAGGTTTCTTGGGAACAGAAAATAACAACTCTTCATGCCATATCCAAGTAATTGGAGTGCTGTTAGGAACAAGAAAACACAAGAGCATTTCAAAATGTAAATAACTGTTTGGGGAATCTGATATATAGGCCTGTACATGTTGTCCCTTCTTTGGGATTGTTGGCAGATACTGAAGACAAATGGCAAAGGCAGAGAAGTAATCTCACACTGGTTAGGATTGCCAATGTGTTTTATGCAAATGTTAAGAGTCAATATAAACCAATAGAGAGGAAAGCACCTAGAGCAAGCGAGACAATTTTCTGTCCAATTTGAAACCTCCCCTCTCTGCTTTTGTGTTAGTAGAATTTAGCCCAATACTTTCTGGTCCTTATCTATACTGTATTGTGCTTTTACAGCGATTAGTTGACTATCTCCCTCTCCCAGCCATCTCAATACTCAGCCTGCCAATTCAATTAACTTAGTATTACCTGGTTTTTAGGATTTTGCTGCATATCTGGCTTTTTGTGGAATTGTTCTTCACAACGCACAGCTGTATGAGACGTCCCTGTTGGAAAACAGACGTAACCAGGTGAGCCTAAAAAGTCATTATCTCATCTATCTATCATCTATCATCTATCTATCTCTATCTCTATCTCTATCTCTATCTCTATCTCTATCTCTATCTCTATCTCTATCTCTATCTCTATCTATCTATCATCTGTCTATCTATATCTATCTATCTATCTATCTATCTATCTATCATCTATCATCTATCATCTATCATCTATCATCTATCTATCTATCTATCTATCATCTATCTATCTATCTATCTATCATCTATCTATCTATCTATCATCTATATCTATCTATCTATCTATCTATCTATCTATCATCTATCTATCTATATCTATCTATCATCTATCTATCATCTATCTATCTATCTATCTATCTATCTATCTATCTATCTATCTATCTATCTATCATCTATCTATCTATCATCTATCTATCATCTATCTATCTATCATCTATCTATCATCTATCTATCTATCTATCTATCATCTATATCTATCTATCTATCTATCTATCTATCTATCTATCTATCTATCATCTATCTATCATCTATCTATCTATATCTATCTATCATCTATCTATCTATCTATCTATCTATCTATCTATCTATCATCTATCTATCTATCTATCTATCTATCTATCTATCTATCATCTATCTATCTATCATCTATCTATCATCTATCTATCTATCATCTATCTATCATATCTCTCTCTCTCTCTCTCTCTCTCTCTCTCTCTCTCTCTCTATCATCTCTTGCATAATGTATGGCTTGGAGTTGTGGGCAGAATTAGTGTGGGAGCCTGTCCATGTGGCCTTGATTTGGCTCGCATAGTCTTGGGCTTTCCAAGGCCTCTATTTGCTTTATATCCCACCTTTTCTTCCATAGAGCACAAGGTGGCAGGCATGGGTCTCCAACTCCCCATTCAATCCCCCAACAACCCTGTGTGGTAGGTTGGGCTGAAAGGCAGTGACTGGCCCAAGGTGAACTTCATGGCTTCTTGGGGATTTGAACCCTTGTCTCCCAGGTCCTTGTCTGGCACTATACCAACCACTATACCAAACTGGCTCCCTGCTGCTTCAAATAGCTGGAGACATTAGGATTGAACCTGGGACTTTGTGCATGCAGAGCATGTGCTCCCCCCACTGAGCCACAGGCCTTATATGAACTTGTAGATTGTAGCCAACATACAAATACCTCGATGGGCAGTGGTGAGATGTAACTAAAGAAATAAAGAGTTGAGAGGTTTCAAATGCTTGGAGGGAAAGTAGAAAAGAAAGGAAGGTAAATTCAGAGCATCTGCCCCACCCCCACTGCCACTCCAATTTTCCTGACGTTGGGGTGAGTTGGAGCCTGAACAAGCCCTGATCCTGCGTCTTCTGTAAACTCACTCAGACTCTGAGGCTCCTCCACATGTATTAATAGGGTGTTTACTGTATCTGGTGAATCAGAGTTGGTCTCTCTCAGTATGTTTCTAAGGGTGTGTCCTCTAGCCATGTGCTTTGTTGGAGGGTTATTTATATTCCACCACTGTTTACGGAGGGAAGTATCTAGGCCCACCTCTGGCAGTGTGGAAAAAAAATCAGTATGAATAAAATAGGCAGACAGTGCTCCTAAACTTGCCAGTGGGACGGGATTTCAAAATTGCTTGAAAAAGGGGTGTAAACGTCTCAGCCCAGCTCCATAATGCGGCACTGCATGGTTGATGTTTTTTCAAACAGGGTCCTAGTTTGCCAAATTGAGAATTCCACTCCACATACACACCCACCCACGGCAAAGCTTACAGTGGGGCATTGTGGGAGAAATCAAGGTTGTGTTGACACGATGAGCCAAAACATCCAAAGACGCGAGTCCCCACTGGGTTAAGAATGTACCCGACCCAAAATTTCTATTGCAGAAGATGGATGAATGATGTCTCTGTCTTGAGTAGACAGGAAGCAGAAAGCATGGGTAGCCAAGTAGCTAATTCGAAAACTTTTTTTATGTTAAATATTTGTCGGTTTAACCAAAGGATATCACCAAAAGAAAAGGTAGGGGAAACTGTAAAAGAACTAGGTAAAAAAAAGAAATCTGTGGGATGAAACATTTCCTCAGTTATGCACCATTATTAATTATGTGGTTCTGTTATGGCTTGGGTTCTGCTATGATTGTCTTGCAGCAAGGTTCCTGATAAGGGGTTTTGTGTGAATGAAAAATGCTTATGATTCTTTGATTTAAAAAGATATAAAAATAGATGATCAGCATCATGCGTTGTTTGGTCCTGAGACTTTCATCTCCATTAAAAGGGGGGCGGGGCGGAATCTCACTTCATAATTATTAAATTTGTATCTGCCTTGCTTTCCATCAAAAATGTGCCAACATTAATATATCTTTCTTTTCTTTTCCCTTGTAGGTTCTCCTCGATCTTGCCAGCTTAATATTTGAAGAGCAGCAATCTTTAGAAGTGATTTTGAAGAAGATAGCTGCCACCATAATCACCTTTATGCAGGTGCAGAAGTGCACCATTTTCATCGTGGACGAAGACAGCTCGGTAAGTACAGAACCTGACTCCTTTTCGAGGAAAGAAGATTCTCATGCATCCCTTAGATGCCTTAGAGCCAGCACTCAGCTTCCCATAATCAGCGCTGGAAGCCCATCTTTTGCAATTGCGTTCAATGACCATATGCATACAAGGAACAACAATGGACTAGATCCCTGAATTGCAGCCACTGAAAGAGCAGAGTGCAGTGGTTGTTGTGCACCCTGCACTGATGTCCTGCCTAGCATTTTTATTTTTTTTTAATCTGTCTCCCATGTTCTCATAGTGACTGAGAACAAAAATAACAACAATAGTATACAGTGGTGCCTCGCAAGATGAAATTAATTCATTCCGCGAGTTTTGTCGTCTTGCGATTTTTTTCGTCTTGTGAAGCACGGTGTCGGGAAAGTTTTGGAAAAGCTTCAAAAATCACCAAAGTCTTTAAAAACCTCAAAAAAGGCTACCACACCGCGTTCTATGAGTTGCTCCTCGAAGTCAAGTTGCAACTGTATTAACAGTGTTAAGAAAAAGGAAAAAAACTTGCAAGACATTTCCATGTGCTCTTTGGGTGTAGAGAGGAGCATATGGTCCCAGATTACAACCCATGAAGAAATTTAAGGCAGTCACATAAGAAAATGGCTATATTATCTTCAGTATTTGAGACAGTATGCTTCTGAATATCAGTTGCTGGAAGCATCTGCCTGTTGCCTTCCCATGGACATCTGGTTGGCCACTGTGAGAACAGAATGCTGGAAAAGATGTGCCTTTGGTCTGATCCAACTGGGCTTTTATGTTCTTATGCCTAGCAACACGGCACCATGAGACAGAAGCAACTTTGCTGCTGTCCTTGAATAAATTAATTAATTAATTGAGTGCTATGAAATACAGATAATTCCATTTATACATACTAACTAAGCTGAAACTCTGTTCTCATTTTTAGGATCCCTTTTCCAGCGTCTTTCACATGGAATCTGAGGAATTAGAAAATTCAAGTGAGACTCACAAAAGGTAAAAATGGATCTCAAATTACCATTGCCTCAGACACATGGGCAAGACAGAAAATGCAGTGCTTTCTGCTTTCATATCGCCAGAAACATTAGCTGCACAAAGCCGCAGATATGAAATAATGCACGAGGATACACCTCTTGTGCATTCTGCTAATTTAAGAGGAGCTTATGCAAGATATCCCCTGAGGGTTGCACTCCTCTTTGCTCAGAGATTCAGCACTACCAGACAGAACGGCTGTACATGCTCAGTACACTTTTCTTTCTAAAAGCTCCTTTGTTGCTTTACAAAAGGGATTGGAAATTAGTGGCTCCATTCTACTTCTGGTGGGTGCAAAGGCAAAGTCCACAGTGAGGAGCGTGGGATAGAGGAGATCTGAAAGAGGGTACTTGCCTTCATGAGTGAGCAAGAGGAGAAGGAATCCTGTCAAGATGAAGGTGGTTCATCATTTTGTTGGCTTATCTTCCCCTCTTAGTGCTGCAGTGTATTTGCCATGCAAGTTCCCCACCATTGGTTGCGTGATATAGTGCTAAACTAGATGCAGAGATGGTGAATTGCAAACAACAGGTAGAAGGGATTTCCTGCAGCAGTCTCTCCAAAAACAGTTATTTAGACCAGGGTTGGCTGACCTGTGGACCCCTAGAAGTTGTTGGACTACAATGCGTATCATCCCTGACTACTGACCATGCTGGCTGGGGCAAACATGAACTGGAGTTCAACAACATTTAGAGAGCTTTAAGTTACTCAGCCAGCCCTGGTGAAAGCTCATGCTGATGCTGCTGGTGCTCAGACTGTGCTTGGACTAATGGGAATTGTCTGTGTGCCACTTCTGAGGGTCAGGTGGGTCAAATCTACACATTGCGTGTCCTCATAATGTCAGCCTGGAAGCAATACAACAGGCATGTCCAACAGGTAGATCACGGCATGAAGTTTAATGATTGCCTTTGGCCAAACCTCCCCCCCCAAAAAAAAATAAAAAAAATCTCAACAGCTTCTGGCAATGACAATGGGTAGATCACAGCCGGTCTTTTTATACTGTGAGTAGATCAGAGTCTCTTGGGAGTTGGACGTGCCTGCAATACAAGAAACAACAGACATATGGAAAGACACAAGGAACATTTTGAAAGTTTAATTCAACTCAGCCTTTATTAAAAGCTTTCATCCAACCCATGTGGTCAAAATGTTGACCTATTTTCACTACTGAAATTGATTTAATTCTGCTGATGTTCCTGGGACTTGGGCTGTTATTCCAAGCACCCTTCCCTTGGCAATTTCCTTCAGAATCAATGGGCCTGTCACTTAATTCTGTAGATTAGATGCGTGCCAGCTAGATTGAGTAGTATGTGACATAGAAATTCATCTTACAGAGAGGGTTACAGCTTTCTAGAAGGGCACAATATCCAAGTCATCACATTTGCCTAATAAAATACATGCAGAGCTCTTAACTAGGAATCTTGGCACAGAGTCTTTGCAGATGCTGCACTAAACAAGGTGGTCCAAGCGGAAAACAGCCCCTAATGCCAGGCTTTTGAAGAACAAGGCATAGTCTCTGTCAAGTTTGTTCGGAGATGTTTTGAAACTGTTTGTAAACACGTTTTTAAATGTATCTCCTTAACAACAAAAGATCCCCAAAAGCTTCACTTCTAGAGCACATGGGGTCTTTCCACTCACCCACTGTACAGCATTATGCATGACTCTTCAAATTGCATCAATTTAAAACAGAAGGTGATTGGGTCAATGCAAAAGTCTTCTGAGTATGTACAGAGAAAGACTGAGTCTTCAGCAAAGAGAGTGGCAGCAGTGGGAGGGGAGGGAATATAACATAATTACTACTTGGGAAAGATTTATTTTGTGTCTGATTGGAAGAAGGAAATGTTATATCACAGTACAGCAAATGCAATGCAAGACATGTGCATTCAGCTCTGAAAAGCATCTTTTAACATGAACTTTTGAAAGTGTTGAGAACATTCATAAGGGTTCCATCTGCTCTGTGTTATTTGTGAAGCAAATTTGTTTTTGTTTTACAAACATGCCAAAATTCCAAGTGCAAATGATTAAATCTGATTTTAGAAACACCTCTCTCTTCTTGCATGCTTTTCATTCTTCAACATTAGTTCCCTTATATTTTTTACCTTTGATGTACATTATGTTTGATGTTTTTCTATTTTTAAAAAAACCTGTAGCACCTCATTATCTTTCTGTTGTTTTCCTTTGAACATCCTTCATTGATTGCTCAAGACCTGCCATCCACTCTCCATGCTGCAGCTCTTCTTTTTCTTTTGAAAGATAGACTGCATGGGTAATCTCTTTTTGATATTGCTGCTAGCATAGAGCAGCCTTCCCTAAAGTAGTTTTTGACTCCAGCTTCCAGCAGCCCCAACTAGCGTGGCCAGGAGTCAAAGATGACAGAAACTGTAGTCCAGCAACACCTTGAGGGCAGACATCTTGTGGAAGTCTAGGGACGTATTAGAGAATTAAATGGTGAATGGTTGTAATAGGTGAATGGATGTAATGATAGCCCCAGAATAGTTTAGAGGAGCAGATATATGGAGAGCTCCAGTTGCTATTATCTGGATGTGTGATTCCCAGGTACAACAACAACAAAAATCTGCCCTGAGGGGAAAGCAGTTTATCTAAGGCATGTATGCATTGCTTTGCTAGTGCCGTTTATTGTGTATCAGTTTTGAGCTTTTTAGTGGAGATGCAATTCCACTATGAATTTCCACTATGTATTTAATAAATTAAATATAATGAAAATAAGCTGTTTTAAAATAAAACGTACATACTAGCCAATACTGGCTTATCATTCAGTTGTCAATATGAAAAAATGAAAAAGCAGAAGAGGTTTAAGCAGCACATCTGAAAGCAGCTGCTCCCTCACACTCTGCTCATGAGCACTTTGTTTACATGGTTCGGTTCAGGTTAACAGTAGGCTTTTCTTGAACTAAAGCCCAAGAGCCACAGTCTTTAGGGTCAATGGAAAGACAATACCTGGATCCTTTGGCAGGGAGATTTATTTGAAGGACAGTATTCAGAGATGGATTAACAGTGGGACTGAAAGACAAATAAAAAACCCCAGATAAATCCAGCTCTGGTTGGATGCCTTTTTATTGACAATCCAGCATGTTACTTAAGCAAATTACTGGAAAAATGCATTTTGAGTGTGTGCTGGAGAAAGCGCTATGCCTACAAAAAAATCTCAGATTTCAAGTGTGGTATTTGAATGTCCAGTGCTGTTGTGGGGGGAGGGAATGACTGAGTGGGTTCATCTCTGTCGGGGGGGGGGCAGTGTGCTGGCCACCTGAGGGAGACAATAGTATGGCCACTTCTGAAAAAACCCATACTGGACCCAATGGTATTTAACAACTACCACCCTGTTGCAAATACAGTTGTACCTCCGCTTACATATCCCTCCGGTTACGTAAACTTTGGGATACATAAGTGGCAAACCTGGAAGTATATTTCCAGTTTTCTGCCGCGCGTGCATGTGCAGAAGTCCTCTACCACCGTGCACGCGTGCGCAGAAGCAGTCTCTCTGGTTGCGAAAACCTCAGGATCCAGCCGGACCTCCGGAATGGATCCCATCCACAACCAGAGGTACCTTTGTACCCTCTTTTGGGGCATAGTACATGAGAGGGTCATGGTCAAGCAGCTACTGGTGTTCCTGGAGGAAACTGATTATTCAAACCCATTCCAATCTGGTTCAGACCTGAATTTACAAACAAGTGGTACATAAATTATATGAAAATAAATAAAGCAATTCAGAGTTTTTGAGCAAGGTGTCATCAGTATTCTGATAATACTACCCAGCTCTGGTTCTCTGTGACATCTGGTTGCCCTAGTGTCTGGATGTTGTGGTAGGCTAAAAGGTAAAGGTAAAGGTACCCCTGCCCGTACGGGCCAGTCTTGCCAGACTCTGGGGTTGTGCGCCCATCTCACTCTATAGGCCGGTGGCCAGCGCTGTCTGGAGACACTTCCGGGTCACGAGGCCAGCGTGACCAGCTGCATCTGGCGAGCCAGCGCAGCACACGGAACGCCGTTTACCTTCCCGCCAGTAAGCGGTCCCTATTTATCTACTTGAACCCAGGGGTGCTTTCGAACTGCTAGGCTGGCAGGCGCTGGGACTGAACGACGGGAGTGCACCCCGCCGCGGGGATTCAAACCGCCGACCTTTCAATCGGCAAGCCCTAGGCGCTGAGGCTTTACCCACAGCGCCACCCGCAGCGGTAGGCTAGATACAGCCTAAAAAAACTAAGCCTGAATTCTACCAATGCGGAGGGTCTGTGGGTGACTGGTTCCTAAGTCTGGGAAGTGGGTAAGCTGCCTGCCCTGGATGCATTCACACTCTCCTTGAAGAAGCATGTGTGCAGTTAGGGGATGCTCCTGGATCCAGCTCAGGTGTCCTTGGTGACTAAGAGTACCTTTTACTAACTTCACTTGATAAGATAGCTGTGGCCACTCCTGGACTGGGATAGCTTAACCACAATTGTCCATGCGTTGGTAACCTCACAGTTGGATTACTGCAATGCACTCTATGTAGGGCTTCCCTTGGGGTTTCTCTGGAAGCTGCCGCTAGTGCAGAATGTGACAGCTAGGTTGCTTGTGGGGGCAAACTACTGCCAGAATGGAACATCTTTCTTGCTTGCAATGGCTCCCATCTGTTACCAGGCCAGCTCCAATGTGTTGGTGCTAACATGTAAGGCCATATACAGCTCAGAACCAGATTACTTGAGAAACTGCCTTATTCCTTATATACTCAGTAGATCCCTGCAGTCTGTGAAAGCTCATTCTGCAGTAACTCGAAGCAGGGCTTTTAGTACTGTGCTGCTCCTGTTCTGTGGAATAACACCCTTGTTGAAATAACGACAGGCACCAACTTTCTGGAAACAAATGAAGACATTTTTGTTCCAACACATTTTCCCAGCTGGATAAATGGGTCTTTGCCAGGAATATATATTTTGTATTGTTTTAGTTTTGCTTCAAACGTATCAGTTGGTGTGGTTTTTTTGGCTGTTTTTATTGTACATCGCCTTGAGATGATTATGTAGATGTTGATCAATAACTGAATAATAACAATGAGGAGGGTGGTGCAGAGAAATTACTCTGTTTCTTCTTGCTCCAACAGAAACTATGATACAAACCAAATTAATTATATGTATGCTCAATACGTGAAGAATACCATGGAGCCTCTTAACATTTCAGATATTCGCCAAGACAAAAGATTTCCTTGGACAGTAAGTAAATGTAAATCTAGATTTTGACCTTACCAATGGAAAATGCAGGGCTTTTTGTGCATGCAGTTCAATTACGGAAGATCTTGTGCGATGCCCCTCTAGGGTCATTCTTGCATTAAAAGGCCTTGAATAGTTTCAAGAGGCATAATCGCATTAGCCCTCAACACCTGCTTCAGTCCCCACTCTGCAGATGTCTACGTCTTTCATGGGACCATACCTGTCTAGCCTGATGGCAATTGCTCTCTGTCTGGCCCATTTTCTACCATTTTGTACCTGGTCCAGGAAGGCAAAGTTCTGATATGATTTCAGTTACAAAGACTACTGCTCACTGATGAGTTCAGGACAGATCAGTTATGCACTGATTTGCTGTGTGGTAGATCATGGACTCAGGGACCCAGGTGGCACTGTGGGTTAAACCACAGAGCCTAGGACTTGCTGATCAGAAGGTCGGCGGTTCGAATCCCCATGACGGGGTGAGCTCCCGTTGCTCGGTCCCAGCTCCTGCCAACCTAGCAGTTCGAAAGCACGTCAAAGTGCAAGTAGATAAATAGGAACCGCTCTGGCGGGAAGGTAAACCGTGTTTCTGTGCGCTGCTCTGGTTCGCCAGAAGCGGCTTAGTCATGCTGGCCACATGACCTGGAAGCTGTCTGCGGACAAACACCGGCTCCCTCGGCCCATAGAGCGAGATGAGCGCAGCAACCCCAGAGTCGGTCACGACTGGACCTAATGGTCAGGGGTCCCTTTACCTTTAGATCATGGACTAGACTTTTTGATAGCTATCCTTTGAATTGTTTAATGGATTGTTTTTCAAGAGATTGGCATTCTGTGCTTTTGCCTTACAATTAATTGTTTATTGCATTGCTCTGATTAGTACTGTATTGTAGATTTGTTGTTTTTGCTGTCCCCCCCATTACTGTTACATTTTAACAATTTTCATGTAAACTGCCTCAAACATTTTATGTGGAATGTCAGGATATGAGAGAACCAATGTGATTAGGGTGTGGGATCAGTACCTGGGAAACCGCGGTTCAAATCCCCACTCCCCTTTGTAAGTCACTGGGTGACCTTGGACCAATCACTGTCTCTCAACTTAATGCAGCTCATCGATAAAATGGTGGTGGAAAGAACCACATGCATCACCATGAATAGCATGAGAATGTTAGTATATATATGTAGGGAATAGACAGATGTAATTGACACTGGCAACTATTGACTAGTTTTGGTTTATCTTCTGGATCCTCCCCTTTCACTTTTACTGGGCTCTACAAATCTTTACTACTGCTGGTCTCCCAATACTGAGAGAGGCCCTACCCTTGCCAGTTAGCCATTTGAATATCTAGGGCTCTGTGTTTTGATTTTGATTTTTTTAAAAGCATTAGCAATTTTCTACTTAGATTCTATTTGTGTAGATTATGCTGTTTAAAAAAACCAACAGTATGTTACCTTGTGAAGGGGATAATTATAGGCCAGGTTTCCACCAGCTCCAGATGTTTTGGATTAAATACCCCTTCATCCCTGACCACTTACTCTGCTGGCTGGGCCTGGTGCACGTTGTAGTCCAAAACCTCTGAGGGACACCATTCTGGAGATGACTATTTTAGGTTCTGCTGCTGTTTTTAAAGTTAGTTGCAAAATTGGTAAGTATTCCCATACAGTTCTTCTGAAAATTGCAATGTTGTGAATATTTGGGTATAAAGGTATCTATAATATAAGTACAGTTTATTACTGCAGAGAAAGCCTGACAACAGCTGTCAAAAGTGCAAACGTGTTCGAGTACTAAATCATGGAGGAAATCTCAATGAAAATTTCACAGTTGTGTTGATTTAGAATGTTGCTACTACTGTAATTTCCCCAACCAAAATCTGAGAGAAGTACGATCCGGCATGTTCATAAATTATCATGCTTGTACAGTTTTATATATTACATGATTAATCTATAACATTGGTGTCGACTGATAAAGTCAGTAAGGTTTGTTTCTTTTATTAACAGAATGAAAATGCAGATAGTAAAAACCAGAATATAGAAAGTTTGCTATGCACGCCAATTAAAAACGGAAAGAAGAATAAAGTAATAGGTACAATATTTTTATTTTTTGTGTTTCATTTCATCCACTCTGCATGATGTTTTGTGAGACTTGTGGTTCAGCAGGAGATAAAATATCCTCTTGGAAATCAATGATAGTTAACTTTCTAAGATGGATGCTAAATTCTTCTTTGCCCCTAAATTGTCCCTAAATTCACTTATACTTCATAAAATGATTGCATGTCATGGTAGAGTACAAATACTGGAACAATTGTTCTTGGAAATAAGTTCTATTATATTATTCAATGCACTTTACTCCCCGATAAGATGCTTTGCATGAGAGTGTTTGTGGCAACGCATGTGTTTCCATGATTTCTGTAAGATAGCAAAACGAAAAAGCACTGGGTTGTATCTTCTGGCCTTGTTTGCAAAGCTCTTCCTTTTTCAAATTGCAGTAAGTATTTCCTAAAAGGGATTTGGCCTTTAATATATTTGGACGGACCTTCCACTGCATCATGGAAAAGTTTTGGAAAACATTCTATTTAGAGAACGTTTCTTGAAAATATATAGTGAAGCATTCCTACTGTAATTCTCACACTCCATTACTCACAGAAGTTTTAAATGTCATTGGTTGGAGCCATATGGGGAAGGGATCTTGTGTTTAAGGAAGTGCTGTTTTATGCTTCATGTTGCATGAGAAAAATGACGCAAACCCAGAGATATATAATTCCACTTGCTCAAGAGCTTACATTACCTTCAGCATAAGACAAACTACTACTGTATATCGTGCTTTTTATTTATTTATTTATTTTATTGCATTTATATCTTACCCTTCATCAAGTTCATGACCCAAGGGCTGGTAACATAAGATTCTCAATAAAATTGCAGCCAACAAAAAACAGCTTAATTAAAATAACTCACACCTGTTGTTAAAATACAACAGCAGACAACACGAAGGTATACCAAGTTCCACTTCTTGCAAATCCACGCGGAACTGGTGTATTTCTAGACAATATTGGTGACAGGCAGAATTCCACAATCAAGGTGCAACCACATAGGCAGTCCTTTCTCAGGTTCCTGCATAATGAGCTTGCATAAGAAGAAGGGCTTCTCCTACAGATCTCAGTGTGCAGGCAGGCTGATATATGAAGAGGCACTCCTTCAAATATCTGGGTCCTCAGTCATTGAGGGCTTTATAGGTCAAGAGCAACACATTAAATTTGGCAAGGTAGCATGTAATAAGCAGCCAGTGCAAACTCTTCAGAATTGGTGTCATATGTGCTAACCCCATACAACCTCTCGGGGTCCCGGCAACATCACTCTATACGAGCTGCAGCTTAGGGGCTGTGTTCAAAGGTGGCCCCACAAAGAGACCACTGTGATGAGGTTATCACAGTTTAGAAATGGACATAGCTGGTTTTGTGTTGTTATCAGTGATGATCTGGGCAGTTGGGGGTCACACTTGAATCTTAAAAGCTTCCTAAAAGTAGAGAGTTAAATTAGGAATTATTCAGTGACTTGTGCTGGATCATTACCTGACATTAGTTTCCTTCAGTTTCAGCTGCACCCTTATCTGTACAGGGAAAGCCTAACTTTTGTTGTCTATGCTTTGGTAACCTCTAGGTTAGATTACTGCAACATGTTATGTGTGGAGCTGCCTCTGAAGACGATTCAGGAACTTCAGTTGGTTCCAGTGTCCCGGTTGCTTACTGGGGCAAGATGGTTTGAGGATAGAACACCAATTCTGGCCCAACTAGTCTGCAATCTGGGCCCAATTCAAAGTGTGGGTGTTGACTTATAAAGCCTTAAATGGCTCAGGATTGCAATACTTCAAGGACCGACTCTCCCCATATGAACAAACCTGGACCCTGCAATCATCATTTCAGGCCCTTCTTTGTGTGCTTCCTCCATGAGAGAGCTGGAGAGTAGCAAAACAAGAATGGGCCTTTTCTGCAGTGACTCCCCACTTGTGGAATGTTCTCTCTAGAGCCTTCATTACATATCTTTAGTTGTCATGGGGGGGGGAATCTTTTCTCCTGTGATGCTCTGATGAAGGGTGGAGTGTGGGTGGGTGTGTAAGCAAGCAAGCAAGCAAGCTGTTTGAATGGTTGAATTCCTTGTGAGGCTGAATCTACAGCAGAGATCAAATACCTACAGTCACCCAGAAGTTGATTGGCTACAACTCCTATAAGTTGGAGTCAGACAGCTTCTGGATGGCCAAAGCTTCCCCAGCTGTGATCAACATTTTCCTGCATCGGTCATCAGCACAGATTATTCTCTTGTAGAACCTCCCAGCTAGGCTGCTCTTTGGGCAAAGGGGTTATATCTGAACCATTATTAAGAAACAAAGCCTTGAGACCTACTCGAATGCAGCATGTGGTCTGAGGACTCATGAACCCCCCGTGTTGTCTTTGTAGTTAATTTGATAAACAATCTGGTCCTTTTTCTCGTAAGAAAGGGCAAGCTCTGTCTGTGTACCAGTAACCTGACATTCATTACAGTTCTCTTGGCATGCTTACAAAAATCTAATTAGTTTGTAAAGGACAAGTTGTCTTTAGGGATTACATCAAACTCAAGGACTATTAATAATAGAAGTTAAGAGGAAAATTGAGATGAAAGCTTGGGAAGGATAGAAAGGAATATATGCGGTTCCAGGGATGGGGAAGAACATGCCCCGTCACCTTGCTACCACCAGTGCCGGTTCCCCATGAGACCAGAATCCATTCCTTCAGTCCCCAGTGGGTTTTGTTGACTGTGCTGCACTTCTGTGAAAAACCTATTGAATATTCTGGATCTAAATCTGCATTAGTGGAACGCAAAATCTGAGTTCAGAATATGTAAGGACCGGTGGATGAAGGGTAGGACACGCAGCCTCAGTTCACATGATCAAATCTGGCTTCATAAAGCCAGGATATTGATTAGCTTCAGACACTTTCACACAGCCCCTTTGTCCATTGTGTGGGGAAACAAATAAGCCACAGTAAATCACAGTTTCCCTTTTTGCACAAGCCGGAAACCACGGTTAATGGCTTCCATAAGCCAAGATTTGGAAGCCAACTTTACAACATTTCAAACTTGACTTTTGAGTACTGGCTTGCTCATAGTTCCTGGTTCTCATGTAATGGGAGGCTGTGGTTAACTGCAGCTTTCTAATTTGTTTCCCTTCTCATGTGAAAGGAGCTGTGAAACAGGAGCTGTGTGGGGGTGGATAAAGTTCATGTGTCGCCTGATTATATGGATGCAACCATATTTTCTGGGTTAATAATAATAATAATAATAATAATGTTGAAACACTGGACTAGAAAGTTAAAATTGCCAGACCTCTGTTTCTATGGATAAAGAAAGCTTGTTAGTTTTCCTTTCTATCAATTGAGGTATGGTTAATTTTTGCACATATATATATAAAGATTAGTTAACATTTCCTTTTTCTAAACGATCTAGGAGTCTGTCAACTTGCAAATAAGATGGAAGAAAATTCAGGCAAAATAAAGGCTTTCAACAGAAATGACGAGCAGTTTCTGGAAGCTTTTGTCATCTTCTGCGGCTTGGGTATCCAGAACACACAGATGTATGAAACTGTGGAAAGAGCTATGGCAAAGCAGATGGTGACATTAGAGGTGAGGCTCAATCAAGGCAGCCTTTATGTAACTCACAGCTGCTTCTTTACTCAAACTCCCTTGCCGAGTTTAAGGCAAGCCAAACTTGGCTCAGTCCTCAGAGCAGGGTCGCTCTCCTTTTCATTTACTGTTTGCTTCTGCGTTTCCACGTGCTTGCAAGACACGTGGCAGATTATTGCATATTAAGTGCTAACCTGGGATTTAGCAGTGGACACAAACATAGCCTTCCCTGAACATATTGCATGCTGGTAACTGACGTTAATGGTTTATCATATTGCATAGAAAAAGGACATGGCTATGGGCACTAGGACGTCCTCTTCTTCTTCTCTGAGGTTTTCTTTGATGACTTTGGCTGAGCCCTTCAAACAAACCAATAGCTGGAGCAACAGCAAGATTACTGTAGGCTTCCTCTAACTTCATCAAACCATATCAAATATGAACGTCATCTAGTCCTAGCCTTTGAATTGGTTACTGTTAGTTTTAATTGCCGTGGCATGAAAGGAGAGCCCAGTAGCAGATCCAGGTTCACAGTTATCTTCTTCCAAAGTAACCTAGGAAGTCAGATGTTGTAGACTTTGGATCCACTTGCATCCACAGAGTAAACAGAGTCTCTGCAATATTTCTAAAATGCAGATTCTGCCATCAATTCCGTTCTGAAGGGAAAGCTCTCATGCAAATCTTTGTTTAGGTGCACTGCTTGCATTAACTGGTAGCAGCGCTCTCTTGATTAAAGCGCTTCGTGCAAATTAGTTTGGACAGCTATGTGTGTTGCGCATTACAAACCCAGGTAACATAACCTTTTAAGGGAGAAAGAAAGATTCTCATGGGCAAATTGCTATAGGCTGAAGTTATAATTCTAATTGCACATGAGTTAAACGTGAGTCCAAAGTAAACACTAAGGTTCTTCTCTCCTTCCCTCACACTCCTGAATAATAAGTTTGAATTTGTTCATTAAATGAAAAATATTTTCTCCTAGGCTGACAAAACTTCTGCCAAGATTTTCCTGAAACAGAATTTCTTTTATGCCTGTGTTACAAACCCGTTGGCGGGGGAGCGGATTTATTATGACAACCTTGTCGAGTTTATAATTATAGCCATGTTGTAAGCTATTTGTCTTTCATATAGGGGCAGGGAAGCTTTTCAAATCTCTCCCCCCCCCCCTTTTATAAAAGAAAAGAGTTCTTTGCTCACTTAAGGCCAACAACGTGATATTTTTTTCCATGCCTTGCTGCCCTCAGGAGTCCTCCATGCTGGGCAGAACTGGTAAACTGCTCATACCAGGCTCCATCCTGCATGGATGTGCCAGGAAACAAAGTACAAAAGCTATTTATGTTAAAGTTCAGAAGGGATGAATCCTAACCCCCTGATCTGTACTCCTAGAAATGGATATGGATTGGGAAGAGGTGTTCCTCTGCTGGTAGGCAACTCTGCTGCCATGGAAGCATTCTCCATAAATTCTGGCACTTGGGCAGCTACTGCACTAGGCTGCATACTGTGGTAGCTAGTGGTAGGCAGCAAAAGACAGTGGATTCAGTGGCTCCTCTCCTGTGCTGGTCATCCTGGATCCAGGTGGATTTGTGCTGCCTGGTGCTCAGAGGCTAGAACTTCCTTTGCTTTTTAACTGGTGGTGTTCCCAAATATGCCAGCGAGCATCTTTGACACCATGAAAGCCATCTACCAAAAAGCACTGGCACTTGGGCAGTAGCAGGCATACAGTAGCCAGCGTAAGCCTCCGAATGAAGAGGAAAAGTAGGACTGGCAATGGATCCTAAGCTATCTGCACAAAAGTTACTAGGGGAGCAATCCCATCCCCTTGATTTACACTCCTGGAGGAGGGTTAGGGTTGAGCAGAGCCTCTGTTTGGCTCTGGTGGCAGGCAGTTCTGCTGCCATGCATCTGCCGGAAGCACTGGCAGTTGGGACAGCTACTGCAGTAGTTGGCGTACTGCGTAGCCAGCATAAGCCCCACAAACAGGGGGAAGAGGAGAACAGGCAAGGGATTCAGTAGATCCTAAGCCCACATATTGCCAGCTGAGAGTCCCAGTTCTCTCTGCTGTACCAGCCTGGAGTTGCTGCAGCAAACAAAGGAGAGAAAAACTGCCTCCCTCTGGCCCTTCCGTCTTGGCCAGTGCAAGCGGTAGGGTTTCACATGCGGAATTAGCTCTGCCGCTCTGTTCAATCCTGCTGCTCCCGACCAGGAGGCAGGTTTGTTTTGCCCAGCAATGTTGAGAGTTAGCAATAGAAATTTAGGAAATTTGGCTGCGTAATTAGTGGAGGCCAAAAATACAACCATTTCCCAATTCCTGCTAATAGTGAAGCATTATTTAAATTTTTAGACTGCTTTAAGTTGCTTTAAAATCCTGCTTATGAAGGAACCTAGTTGGTAGAGATGTCATGCTAAATCATAGATGAGACAAGCAGTGGAAGGGAGGGAGAATTTGTGCTGGGGAGCAGAAGGATGGTATGTTCCCAAAGCTGGCTCTCAGACCTCCGATCATGGTTTGCTGGGTTCCAGCAGATATCTGCACTGCAGTAATCCTCTGCAATAATTCAGAGGCCCTCATGAATGTGTACACAGTAGCCCATTACTTTGCTTTTATTGGTAAATCACTAATGGAAATCGCAAATCACTATATTAACCCTGTCAGTTTAGCTATTGCTGGGAGATTTTGCAGAGCATTCTGGATGCCAGAGGAAAGAGTGCTTTGAGAATTTAAATAGCTAATTTATTAGTATTAGTATGGATTTTTGCTTGCTTTTTATTATTGTATGTGTGCATTTGTTGTTGTTTGGTCATTTAGTCGTGTCTGACTCTTCGTGACCCCATGGACCAGAGCACACCAGGCACTCCTGTCTTCCACTGCCTTTATCCATGGAGTTTTCTTGGCAGGCATACTGGAGTGGCTTGCCAGTTCCTGCTCCAGGTGTATGTGTGCATATGTACCTATATATAGAGCATTTTATATGTGCTTCATTTCTTTTTCCTAAAGGTCCTTTCTTACCATGCTTCAGCTGCTGAAGATGAAACAAGGGAACTTCAGGTAACAGCGGTAATGTCATTTTCCCTTCTATTATATATGTGGTGATGATCTGGGGATTGCAAAGGCTGGTAGAACTTCAGGATTCAGAATCATGAAGGCTATTAGAAGACAGAAATGTGTCATTTTCTTCCATCTTGGCCTATAGCGTGAGATACACAGATCTTCTAGAGGGATGGTAAAAGAGAAAGCTAGGGTTAAGCTCCAGTTCTGCTTGGGAGCTCGCAAAACACAGCCCATCTTTCTGCCCTTTCTAGGTTTAGCTAGGAGTGGCTGAATCTTTAAATTTCAGGCTAGCCTGGTTTCTCATTTTTGAAATCTTAAAATCAACCCTCCACATTTCCACATTGGTTTGTGATTTATTCATTTTTTTAATGCCATCAAATTGATCTTCCCTTTAGTGCAAATTTCTCCTAATACGCACACATTCGTACACAGTTTTGCCAATTATACACGTTTCCCAAGCAATTTCTACTAATGAAATGTATTTTTGTATGCTATTTCCAGTTATATTCATTGTTTTCTGCATACGTTACCCCAGAAATTTTGTACACTTTGCTTTGCTGGAGAACTGCATTGCCAAATTCGAATAATTTTTGAAGGGTAGCTGTGTTGTCAGTTCTCGTTTCAGAAAGTGTGGATTGGATAGGTTCACCTTTAAATGTGAGCTGAATTGAATTAATACTTCCTACCCCAGTCTTCTGCACTAGTGTCTGAGCCTCAAACACAGCAAGATTGCTGCTTAGGCCACACTCCCTCTATTAATCAGCACCAGTTTGTGGATGAAAATCTGGCTTTAGAAACATTTGGCAAGAATTTTCTTGGGAGTACAAAATAGTCGTACCTTTGAGTTTCGTGTTAGAATATCTAATTCATGCTTACGGGTCTATCAAATTGTTGTTCACTTCTGTAGGATAAACATTTTCCAACTGAAATGTGGTATTTCCAAAGGAGCACTGTAAATCAGTGGCAGGGCCAGAAACACAGGCCTGGTCTGTTTATTTCCCACTCTGCTGCTTTGTTCACGGTGGAGCCATCGACTGGGCAAAGGATCTGCCTTGAATTCCATGAGAAATAATTCTATTAATCTGACATTAACTTGGACTCCGACTCTGCCTTAGTCTACTGCATAGCAACTGCATGTGGGAGAGATGCAAAGTGTTACATAACCAAATGTCTTCAGTTCATGCGCAATCATTAAAACCAGTCTTGCTGCTTTTATGGGCATTTTTAGGTGTAGAGATTACAGTGTCTGGATTATTATTTTTTATCTTAAATTCCACACAAATGGACACAGTTTCAATGCTAGCTTATTGTGATCTTTATGAGACAAACATAAGCCAGAAGCCAGATATATATATTCTTTTTTACCAGCAAGCCATTTCATAGCCTAAATTAGAAAAAGAAACTCACAAAATTGTGGATCTTTTCCTGCAAAATGGCTTTACAGTACATTGGAAGGAGCAGGGCAGAGCCATAGATATGTTCTCCAGACACCCATAGTGCTTCAGCTTACCTGGGGCAAGGTGGTTGTGAGGTTCACATGCACACCAACAGAGCCAGTCCAGCAGCCCCAAGGCACCCAGACCTCAATGATGCCCTGTCCTGATCATTAGTAAAGCAAGCTTTCTTCCACAGAACTATAAACAGGTTTGTTTTTTTGACAGTTTAAATTGTATCTTTCTAAACCAAACTGTATTTGTGTTTGCAAAGGTGTTTTTCCCCTCATATATATGTGTGTGCATGTGTGTGTGTGTGTGTGTGTGAAATCTATATATCATAGATATATGGGACGCGGGTGGCGCTGTGGGTAAAAGCCTCAGCGCCTAGGGCTTGCCGATTGAAAGGTCGGCGGTTCGAATCCCCGCAGCGGGGTGCGCTCCCGTTGCTTGGTCCCAGCGCCTGCCAACCTAGCAGTTCGAAAGCACCCCCGGGTGCAAGTAGATAAATAGGGACCGCTTACTAGCGGGAAGGTAAACGGCGTTTCCGTGTGCGGCTCTGGCTAGCCAGAGCAGTGATGTCACGCTGGCCACGTGACCCGGAAGTGTCTCCGGACAGCGCTGGCCCCCGACCTCTTGAGTGAGATGGGCGCACAACCCTAGAGACTGTCAAGACTGGCCCGTACGGGCAGGGGTACCTTTACCTTTACCGTTATAGATATATAGATATATATGTACGCACACACACATACACATACACACACAATATATATATATATATAATATATATACTACACAGAAAAGCCTGTGTTTCTACCTACTGATGTCTGGCCAAGGTATTTGGAAGTCACGTAGTTATCAAGTTCACAAAGTTCATTTACTCGGCTGAAAACAAGAGATTCTAGCACAAGGTTTTCCCATGCTAGTGCTTAGTTATATTTGGTAACAAATATTTGCTTTTTAGACACATCAGGACTTTGACTCAGACCGTAGATTTTCAACTAGCATGTTTCAGATGTATACCTTAAGCTCAGATTTAGTAACAAACATTAGTCATCCAGTTTATAAAAAGAACAGCAGTGTGTTTGCTTTTTTACCAAGGCTTCCATGCATACAAACAGGATAGCGTGCCCTCCCCTTCTGAAACATATACTTTCCTGCAGTTAGAATTATACGTGTGTTGAGTGTTGCACTGAATGTAGGAACTTCATATTTTGCTCTGTAGGATCAAATTATGCTACAGTAAAATTTACTCTTATATGCCTTTTTTCAGTCCAGAAGTGTGCACAACTTATGAATACTTATATATAAGTTCATAAGCATTAAGAAGCGATAAAGGATATCAAGATTGCTCACCTCAGATGCTGCTGCCAGTCCTAATTATTTCCCCTCTGTTATCAAAGGCTTTTTCAGGCCTTGCTCATATCGAGTTGTGTAAGTGGAAGGCTGCTCATTTAGTGTGATTGTACCTGGCCATGGCCCCTGTGAAAAACAACTCTAAAAGCTCAGCAACTGTGAGCTGTTTTTGTCTTAAAAACAAATTTCTGGGCACAGCATGTGCTCAGAGGCAGCCTGCTTGCTTTTTAATTCTCAGAATACCAAAGTGTATTCTGGAATCCTCCTGCACCTGCTATATACTAAGACTGTGTTCAAGCAACACTTTATTCTATCTCTCCAATGTTCCTTACCTCTTAATTTTCACGTTTTATGTGATCTTTCACCCAATGGTCACTTTGGCCATGCAGGCTGCGGCAGATGGAAGGTCATAAATTTCCCGTTCCTGCTTTAACTAGAGACTTTTGCTTCTGAGCATGTTGCTCTTCTCTTACTAAGGTTGCGTCAGAGGGAAATGGCTTATTATTGTACGGAATAGAACTACAGATAATTGGAGCATGGTGCAACATTTTGCAAACTGGTGTTGGGGATGTCATCAGTGCAATGGACAACAACCCTGCATTTTATTGCACTTCGAGGATTACAGCCTCATATTGTACTTTATTATATTATTATTATTATTATTATCGTATTGAAAGAAGCTTTAATTCCATGTTACTTTATTGTTCTCTCCATTTTTTCCTTCTGTTTCATTTCAGGCTGCTGTTGTGCCATCTGCGCAATCTCTCAAGCTCACCGACTTCTACTTCAGTGACTTTGAGCTGTCAGATATGGAAACCTCCCTGTGTACAATTCGGATGTTCACTGATCTTAACCTTGTGCAGAATTTCCAAATGAAACACGAGGTGAGAACCTTGTGGTGCATGGAGCATGGCCATTTATGGATCACACATTTTCTACATCATAACATTCTTCAACGTAAACATGCACACAAAAGATTGGGTATATAAATTGAATAATAAGTTTTAAAGCATCTGTTGGAAAACCAAATATCATCATGACTAAGGCGGCATTGGTCCAATTTTCAGTAGATTGCTCTTACATCCCACATTTGGTGACAGCAGTTGAGTAGGAATATTTGCTCTTAATCATACCTTAAGTTCACCAGAATAGCTGCATACAACTGCTTGTACCTGTGTGCTACAGATTCCTTTCTGTTGATGAATTCCTATTCCTTTCTGTTGACGGATTCCTTTCTGTTGATGGGTGATGGCACTATGACCAAATGCGAAATATGTTTATCTTTCCGAAGATTACACAGATAAATGCAGAGACTGAGCAGTACAGGTTATACCTGCGAAACATGGTTTTACAACCTGTTCCAAAACTCTAGGAATTTTAACTGCATTCAGTCTTGAACAAAGTGTTTATTATTTGTTTGGTTCTGTAATAGCTTGCCCTTCCTCCCAAAGGAGCCCAGGGCAGCAAACACATCTGTGATGATGAATACAATTAAAAATAAAATGAAAACATATATAAAAACTATTGAAAGCCTCTAAGCACAGTAAAACTCTTAAAACAAATTTAAAAGCAGATGGAACCTACCCATGTATCTTGAGAGGCCTTCAGCAAGCTGCAATAGAGTGTCTTCAATACAATCTTCAAGTTATCAACCATGTAAAATGTCTTCCACAAGGGTTGAAAATAGATCGCTGCTTGCTGCTTAAGAATGGTTCTCATGGTAATTAGAACCCTGTAAAGAATCAGAGACTTTCAGCACCTGGCTAGCCCAGTCTTGCCTGTCCTCACCACCATTTTCATCCTTGGCTAACAATGTATGTTTTTAAAGACTTTTGATTTTACTTTGCAACTCCCTTCAGAGAGCCCTGGAGTTCAAGTGATGAAATATGTGCCCAAGACAACAAAAATTGTATAATCCCCACCCCACCCCCACCCCGCTTCTCTTGTTCTCTTGGGTTAAAATATATCTGTTTCCAATTCAGTTCTATCAAGCCTGTAAGGAAGCCAGATGGGAAATGTGCTGGAGTGCTGATAAATGAAATTTTGTGCTCTTGTCAGTGAAAACAGCGGAATATGCTGTACCTTTAACTGAATTTTTTGTGTGTGTGTTTGGGTTTTTTTAAGGTCCTTTGCAGATGGATTTTGAGCGTGAGGAAAAATTACCGGAAAAATGTTGCGTATCATAATTGGAGGCATGCTTTCAACACTGCCCAGTGCATGTTTGCTGCTTTGAAGTCAGGGAAAATCCAGGTATGCTTGGATTTATTTGCATGGAATATATATATATATATATATATATAATATAAATTACAATAAGTATATATAATGCATATAAATCCTATTCCTTTCTACCAAAATTAGTGTGTCAGTCTTGGGCCCCATATGCATTCTAATAATCCACATTCAGGTTTTGCTTCCAGCAGGGCTCTTCTCATGTAAAGGAAATGGTGTGTGTGTGTGTGTGTGTGTGTGTGTGTATAATTGTATTGTGTTGTTATGTTATTATTATTGGAGAGTTTCCAGAAGGTGTGGGAAATCAGGATACACGTATAATGCATTGCCAAATCCAGATTTTTTTAGCAAACGTAGAAATATATTCTCCTGCATTTCATGTTGCATTCAGAGCAAGCTTACGGACGTTGAGGTGCTTTCTCTGCTGATCGCGGCACTGAGCCATGACCTGGACCACAGAGGTGTGAACAACTCTTACATACAGAGGTGAGTAAAGGGGGGTTTAAAAGAGAGGAGATTGGGTTTTTAAGGGGTTGTTTATTTGAAGCATTTTTTATCATGTTCTTCAGCCCCAAAAAAGTCTCCCAGAGCAGCTTACAAATGACATTGATAGTACAGTCCTTGCCCTCACATGCAATCTTAAAGGTAAAGGGACCCCTGACCATTAGGTCCAGTCGTGGCCAACTTTGGGGTTGCGGCGCTCATCTCGCTTTATTGGCCGAGGGAGCCGGCATACAGCTTCCGGGTCATGTGGCCAGCATGACTAAGCCGCTTCTGGCGAACCAGAGCAGCGCACGGAAATGGCGTTTACCTTCCCGCTGGAGTGGTACCTATTTATCTACTTGCACTTTGAGGTGCTTTCGAACTGCTAGGTTGGAAGGAGCAGGGACCGAGCAATGGGAGCTCACCCCATCGCGGGGATTCGAACCGCCGGCCTTTTGATCAGCAAGTCCTAGGCTCAGTGGAGGAGGGAGGAGGAAGAATGAAAAATTGGTCACTTCTTCTAGGTTCCAGCGTTTTTCCAGCTGGAATGTAGTTAACAAGGCAATGCAGTGGTTTCCCCATAGTTTATATACATGACTGCTGCATTTGGAACTTTCTCTCAAAAGATGTTGTATGGTGGTAGGAATGATGTCCCATATTTAACTAACCTGGCCTGCTAGCGGAAGCCAGTTGCAAAGGCTCCTGTTAGTGCAACGGTGGTGTCTTCACCCTTCCTGCCACACACTTCCCCCAAATCCACTCTGGTAGGTCAGGAGAATCCTCAAAACAGTGTGCAGGATAGGAGAGGGGGGACTGGTTTGTCTGGCAAGCAGACATGCTTGCACTGATGGAACAGTCAGAAGAGAGAAACATTGAATTCTTTCAAAAACTTCCATTCAGATTAGTTCCTAGAATGTAGGTGAAATTCAGTTCTTTGTTCTGTTCTTTCTTTCCCATTTCTATTCTTTTTTCACAAACATCCAGCAACCTACAGATCTGCAGTGGCTTGAACCAGTTGGCTATTTTTTACTTTATTTGTTTAAGAATGAATTCTTTCCTGCGGGTGGGGGGAGACCTCTGGAGATGCATCATTCCCATTCCAAAAAACGTCCTGGGAAAATGTTGCTGACAATTAAGCCTGATGTTCATGAACACCACAAAACAAGAGAGCATTACATTTCCATAACATTCCCCTTTCAGACTAAAAATGGTTCTAGGGATTTTTTTTTAATCCCTCAGGCTAGTGAGGGATAGATTAAAATGGGGATTAATGTTGTTCTTTATGTGTAGTTGGAAGCAGGGAGACTCGGGACACTTGGCTTGAGATTATTTTCTTGGAAGTGGGTTGTGCTTTTCTTATAATAAAATAACCAGAAAGCTGTAAATCATGCTAAGCAAAAGTTATATGAAATGCACTCCCCCCCCCCAAGTTCTGTTTGTAGACATAGGAGCATGGGAAACTGCCTTATACCAAGCCCAATCATTGGTTCATCTCATTCAGTATTGTCCTCACTGATTGGCGGAAGCTGTCCAGGGTTTCAAATAGGGTGTCTTTTCCAACCCTACCTCGATGCAGGGCGACTGAAGCTGGAACCCTCTGCATGCAAAGCAGAGGCTTTACCACTGAACTACAAACCTTCCCAAAGGTCCAGACTCTAATGCAGTGGAGATTCATGCTGGCGGGTGGGGAGAATGATTTTTGCTAATGCTACCTTTACTCTTGGGGACACGGGTGGCGCTGTGGGTTAAACCACAGAGTGTAGGACTTGCCGATCAGAAGGTCGGCGGTTCAAATCCCCGCGACGGGGTGAGCTCCGTTGTTCGGTCCCTGCTCCTGCCAACCTAGCAGTTCGAAAGCACATCAAAGTGCAAGTAGATAAATAGGAACCGCTCCGGCGGGAAGGTAAACGGCGTTTCCGTGTGCTGTTCTGCTTCGCCAGAAGCGGCTTAGTCATGCTGGCCACATGACCCGGAAGCTGTACGCCGGCTCCCTCGGCCAATAAAGCAAGATGAGCGCCGCAACCCCAGAGTTGGCCACGACTGGACCTAATGGTCAGGGGTCCCTTTACCTTTACCTTACCTTTACCCTACAGGCTCCAGTGCCACTTCCCACACAGTTCCCCCCCACCACCCCAATCCTCTGGAGAAGATTTTTAAGGGCTGTGGAAACCCAGTCCACATATTCACTTGAATGCATGTAGGCAAGAAATGGGAAGCAAGAGCACAATTCAGTACCCCCTCTCAGTATACCTGCACATAGCTGCTCCACTCGAGGGAGATGGCTGTGACTCAGTGGCAGAGTACCTGATCTGCATGGACAGGGTTCCAGGTTCATTCTAAGCTCATTCTAAGCATGCACATTCTAAGCTACTGGGAAGGGAGAATCAGTGAAGACTGCCTTACCTGCTTCTCCCCAGATCCCCCTGCTGGATTGTAGCCATAAAGCTCCCCTTACCCTCTTCCCCCAGAAAGTATATCTAGGAAACATACGAAGAATTGTGCTTATTGCATCCGGTCCATCGAACCCAACATTCTTTTTACAGGAAGGGACAGGCAGATGCCCCTAAGAAGCTCCCAATAAGGGTGTGGTTGACACATAGACATGTGTCGGCCATAGCATGTAAGGGAACAGCCTCTTTGATAACAAGGGAACCTCTATGTATTATCGTAGCTAATCCATTTTTGGTAGGTATGTCCTCTGTGGGAATTACATTTCAGTGGCTGCCACCACCAAATTTTGTGGCAGTGAATTCTGCATGTTGCCTATTGGACACAAGGCTCCCAGCAGAGGGACAGGTTCCTGGCAGTCTCAAATTTCTGAGGACAGACAAAATTTGTGGACCTCATGAGTGAGTAGGTTTTTGTATTCTTTCAAAACCTGCAAACCTGTTTGACCACTGCAGACCAGTCATGGGGGTGGGGAATAAATATATCTCTCCCATAGACCTTTCCTAAACCCTATTCTACCTTCATAAAAAATACTATCTTTGCCCAGTCACTGTCGCATGTGCCAGTTAAATATGCTGTGTGCCCTCTGTTCTCCCTTTTCAGAAGTGAACACCCCCTTGCCCAGCTGTATTGCCACTCAATCATGGAGCATCACCATTTTGATCAGTGCCTGATGATCCTGAATACCCCGGTAAATGATTTTCTTGTCATGTGTGCACTGGAGGGAAACCTTGCCCAATTCACTTTTATTTTTAGTTTTGGATGGGTTCCCAGCATTATGCATTCTTAAGTATTTTTTATTCCTTTTTGGGACAAGAACGAAAAGGCAGCCCTTCTAAGAGCCACCAAGCTTTTCTCGATAAGCTTATATAAGCGCCATTGCTCATGTCAGTTTCAGTACCTATTGCCTTGGCATCAAAGCAAAAGGGGTATTTCATGCTCATTAATCTAGTTAATATTTCTGCGGAGTGAGCACTGCTGTTATAGCATCAAGTTCTGTTGGAAGGTGCACAGAGTAATTCCAAGAGGGATGCCCATCAGATATTGCTTCCTCCAGTGGTACATACCCACGGGATGTTACTTCCTCCAATGGTCTTCAAAAAGTATTGCAAAACCAAAAAAACTCTTGAAGTTTAAACTTAGCCTGTGCATCACCCGAACAAATAAGCAAACATCTTTTAACTGGCAGTGTAAATCCTGCTCTTCAAGGTGTTTTATGTATATTTTCTTAGGTGTGTACTATATATCCTAAATCTGAAACAAAAGAGCACTGCTAACTGCCTCATCCCGTGGTCTGCATTACACACTGTTCATTTATTTCATCATCATATTATCATTACTACTACTACTCCTTCTGCTACTACCCTGCCCAATAGGCCACTGAATGCCAACTAGTATCTAGCAACACTTTGCAGGCTGCCAAGGGATCAGATTGGCTGTTCTTTTTCATTTTAGGTGTGTGTTGTTTCTTGTAGATAAGAAACAAGTTTTTTGTTTTTGTTTGCAAAGCCAAGAAAATAGATAGATTTCTCAATGAAGAACCGTGTTTCCTTCTTAGAGTCTAATGGGGATCTCCTTCCATGTCAATTTCCCAGGGTAGGTTTGAAGGCACATGAGGCCTTCAAATACTGAAGCTGAGGTGGTCTGGCTCTGGTCAGCTGCCTGTATGGGACATCTTCTGGAAGCCACATGTATGCTACTTTGGGTTCCACGATGGGAAGAAAAGTGGGATATAAATCTTAGAAAAGCAAATAATTAATTAAAACCCTGGTGAGGTGGAGTTTTGGATGGGGGTTGCCTTTCCATGTGTTACCTTGCTCTCAAGAAAATATACCAGTGTGTCAAATCTACAGAACAAAAGAGAACAGGGCCCAGTTCTCATTGGTGCAAGACTTTTTAATGCAGCTCTATGTGTTTCAGAGTAGAGCAACTTGGGGGTTGGGGTTGGGGAGGTTTGCCAGTTCTTAAAATCTGGACAACAAAATTGTGGAGACTGACAAATTAGTCAAATGTTCTGTGTGTAATCACAAGCATTGGTTTGTTGTTGTTTCTTTTTGTGTGTGTGAAGGGCAACCAGATTCTCAGCGGCCTTTCTGTTGAGGAATACAAGGCTACTGTGAAAATGATCAAACAAGCTATTCTGGCCACAGATCTTGCACTGTACATTAAGTAAGTTGCTCTTGCGTTATTGCAAACAGCTGCTGTTCTTGGAAAAGTCACAGTTCACCTGTGGAACATTTTCTTTCTCTCTTTCTTTCCTTTAGATTATCCTTTTTAATGTAAAAGCATAGAATGTCTTTCTTTTAAGCTCGTTTATAAACAATAGTTATCTTATAATGCTTTCAGGAGAAGAGGAGAGTTTTTTGACCTTCTGAGAATGAAACAGTTTAACCTGGAAGACCCTTATCAAAAGGAGCTATTTTTGTAAGTGAGCAAATATAGTATCCAGCTTCTGTGTGATTTTGTTGTGTTAGCCTAGGGCAGCTATCACAGAACTTTAGTTTCATTGAATGCTTGGGTTGGGGTACAAGAGAACAGAAAGAACTTTCTTGATGAATGGTGGTGAGCAACTGGTTTCTAATGGTTATGTAAACCTTCCATGCAATTTCCAAACAGGGTGAAACAGCCTTGACAGAATACCATATTGTTCCTTTGCAATACAGGCATTGTCCTGAAGCACTGAACTGTTAAAAGTCAGTATTCCTAAGGTTATTTATTCTGCATGAGAAAGGTCAGGCTAAAGTTGTAGTAGCCCTGCCTGCAATAATGGAGTCATCACCAGTCCCATGTAACCCCGCCTTGATGGGACTGCATGTAAAAGGAGGAAACAATTCTGCATGTGACCAAATTATGTGACATCTTTGCTCAGCTCACCTGATCAGTGTACACTGAGTTCTGTAAACTTTTCAACTTGTTTTGCTGCTTGTTAATACGCAAGTGAATTGAAGAGCAGAGCCATTTATGGCCAAGCTGAATAAAAATTTGTCCAGTCTGCACCTGGCCACATGCAGAGGTTGTGTGAAATGCATAGATTTAGTTTCAAAACATTGATACAGTGGTACCTCGGGTTACAGATGCTTCAGGTTACAGACGCTTCAGGTTACAGACTCTGCTAAGCCAGAAATAGTACCTCAGGTTAAGAACTTTGCTTCAGGATGAGAACAGAAATCACACGGCGGTGGCATGGCAGCAGTGGGAGGCCCCATTAGCTAAAGTGGTACCTCAGGTTAAGAACAGTTTCAGGTTAAGAACGGACCTCCAGAACGAATTAAGTTCTTAACCCGAGGTACCACTGTACTCCATAAAACTCCTTAAGGCCTTTGCATTCTCACTGAGACAGGGATTTAAAACAGCCCATTGTCAGCAGCACTGGGGTTATTTAGGAACTGGAAAGTGATTGGAATATCCTGTTCTAGTGATAAAGCCAAAACAAAGATTGGATTTTGGGTTGGCAATCCTAGTCTAGAATTACATCAGGGGGGAAAGTATCTAATCATATATATTAATAGTTACCTCAGGTGTTGAATTATGAATGGTATGTAAAAAAAATCTTTAAAATCCCAAGAGGGAGACATCAGCATGTTTGTGGGAACCTCAAGGTTTGCAGAAGTAGAAAAATCTAACCCCCCTCCCAAACCAGAATAGGGCAATGGTGACTGGGCAAGTTCAGTGGCCACAGAATGCTAAGTGTCTGTTGGCAAGGAGAAGGAATGGAATGGAGTATCTGATAAAAGGCTGGCTGGCTGGCTGGCTGGCTGGCTGGAACACTGAACAGGAACACTCCATATTACATTTTTAATAATAATAGTAATTCAAAGTCCTATTTGTTACTAGCTGATTTTAATTACTTGCAACAATGCTATGGTTCCTTTGCCATTTATGAAAAACAGATTGAGCTTTGTTTTAGCGTTTATTTTACATGATTTTGCATACCATACCCATTTTTATTCTGCTGCCAAGATGCAATGCTTTTTATAATGCACAAAATCTTGGCTTCATGGTTTCTACAGGGCAATGCTGATGACCGCGTGTGATTTGTCAGCAATAACAAAGCCGTGGCCTGTTCAGCAACGGGTAAGTAACTGCCAAAGGCCTGTCCAAATCTACAAAAAGGCAGCCCACAGTTTCCTTGAGCATTTGTTCCCACCAAACTTCTTCCCGTTTTAACGCATTGCCTCTTGTATCAACTTAAAACAAAACAAAGATGAAATTTGTTATACCAAGGAAGATCGGCAGCCTCTTGTTTCTTGCACAAATATTGATTGCCAGTGATTGAAAGCTTCAAAAGAAGGATTACTATGGGAAACCTGGCAAAGGAGTGATACTGTACAAACAGACATTGCAAAAGAGATTGCAAAAGAATCCTTGGGAAAACTGGCATCCTTTGGGGGACGGGTATTGAAATCTGCATAAACCAGATGAGAATGTTAAGCAAGAGGTTCTAAATATTTCATTGATTTTATTTGTTTGTTGATGAGTAGCAGAGCAATCTGAACCCCCTCACACCAAACTGAACTGCCTCTTGCCAGCTGCCACCAACAGAGTGCCAACGTCCCCCTTATGTGTTGGAGGCCCTCTGACAGTACCCCGCTGGCAATACCCCTGCCTGCGAGGGACATTGAAAAGGGGGCTTGATCCCAAGCTAGGCTTACTGCCAGTGTGTGATGGCATCAGAGTTGACTCACCCATTAGGCAGGGTGAAGCAGTTGCCTCAGGTGATGGAAGTTCAAGAAGCAAGACCCCTCCCACCCCACTGCTGCCTCCTCTGCCAGAATGCCCCCTATCTCTGAGTTTCAGTGAGAAGGGCCTGTTCCATCAATGGTTGAAGTGGTGGGGTAGACAAGAAGCAGCACATTCCCGTTTCGTTTCAGGTGGTGAAATGGGCTGAGCTGCCAATCACTCTTCTAGTGTGGAGCTGGTGTAGAGATCAGGTTAAATTATTCTTGCCTCCCCTTCCATGGTTGGCAAGTGGTGAGGGTTTTGGTTGCACCCTTAGTTATTGTATAAATTGTTATTTGAACTTCTTTGGATATAAATGTATTTTTGATTTCTGGACACTGTTGATGTCTTCCAGGGCCATTTCTGACAGAATAATTGCATATTTATTGCATCTGCTTATATATTAGTATTATAAAATATTGTTGAAACACACTCTGCCAAAGTGACTGAGATCTTTGTCTTTTAACTTGCAGATAGCTGAACTTGTAGCTACAGAATTCTTTGACCAAGGTGACAAGGAGAGAAAAGAACTCAATATAGAACCAACAGTAAGTAGAAGAACCATCTTTAAACAACATGGTTGTTGTTGTTTTTTTACCAAAAATTCATTTTAGATGGTGTTTTTACACATGAAGTATCAAAATTTACACCTCCTCTAGCACCTGAAAATCATATTCACTTAGGCCTGTATCCAATGAACTAATCTCATTAGTACAAGACTTCAGCCTGTGCAACCCACCCACCAACATGTGAATTGGGGGAACCCTCAGTAAAACTTTTGGGGAACACACATGGGGAGTCGACATGGGGGGAAAATCCTTGGACTAACAGGATGACTTTCTGGGATACAACCCCTGTATTGTCTACCAATTATAGCTGAGCAGATAATGTTTTTCGCAAAGAAGAAAGCATTTTCTGCTAATAGTATGGGAAGTAGCATTAATGGAGAAGCAAAGTATTTTGCAGCCATTTCCATCTACATACTTACAGTTGCATCAGCTTTCTCTCTGGTCATTTCAAGCTCAGAGGCCCCACTTTCAGTGTTATTCTGAACTGTTGTATCCTCACAAGAAACTTAGGAGGCAGATTGTTGCAATTCCCATTTTACAGATAGAAGAATTGAAGCTGAGAGAAAGTAACTTTCCTAAGGCTACTTAGGGAAACTTGGACTGAGATGGGATTTGAACCCAGGACAACCTCTTTGAGGCCAGCACTGACTATAATTATGGCTTATTAGCATGCCCTGTGATATATGTATGTATGTATGTATGTTGAATTTTTATATCACATATATATATCTATGCAGTGTACAAATTACAAAACATCGCTGAATTGAGCCACATTTTGGCAAGTGGTCTTGCTTCAAAGTGAACTTCGTTTGATTTTTCAGGATTTAATGAACCGTGAAAAGAAAAACAAAATCCCCAGCATGCAAGTTGGATTCATTGATGCCATCTGCTTGCAGCTCTATGAGGTACCATATATGGAGCGGCCTGTACAGTGAGAGTGTTTGCATCTGTGTCATCTGCCAACGTTGTCTTCAAAACTGCGCTTTCTCTTCAAAAGCATTATATGCAGATCTGGCTGTGGGAAGGGGGGTTGCACAATCAAGTTTCACATCCTTTAATGGGACTTCTTTGGCTTTTCTACAAAGGAAAGACTGCCGAGCAAGGACCCTTACACAATAAAATAATCAAGCAAGATCTCTGAAATATTGTAGTGGGATTTCTCTCTATTTACTGCTCATGGGTCTGTTCGTATGATTTTGCCTGAAGTGGGTGGGTATCTGGAATTTGACCAAAGAACCTCATGTTCTTTTATTTCAGGGGTGATGAATCTTTGGTCCTCCAGGTGATATTGGGATTACAACTCCCATCATGCATGACCATTGGCTATGCTGGCCGATGGGACCTGGAGTCCATCAACCCAGGAGTGACACAGGTTCCCAAATCTGTGGATATATCCTTGAAAGGTGCAGTTCCTGTGTAGGAAAGAGGTGGCACTAATGCAGGCCATGGGATAAGCCTGGCTTGCTTCCTGCAGACAGTTTGAGGCAGCCTTGTGGCATGCAGAGAGGGGGAATCTGCCTTCCTCCAGATCCACTGCCATTTGCGGACTGCACCTCTCAGCCAGGAGCATGCTGGGAAGCTGCTTCTTGGATTTTTTCTGTATGTTCAGTTCCCAGTATATTCTGTGAAACTGCTAAACGCTAAGGAAGAGAAGTCCCCCTTCCCCTTTCTTAGGTTTTGATGGGTCTGATTTGCTTTTCCATTTGCAGGCGATGACACACGTCTCAGAAGCCTGCTATCCTTTGCTGGAGGGCTGCAGAAAGAACAGGCAGAAATGGCAGGCATTAGCCGAACAGCAAGAAACAAACCTGATCAATGGAGAAAGCAATCAGCCCAAACGGAACTGAGATAGCACTTCGTTAGGAATGCTGGTTTACAAAGAAGCTATTTATATATAGTGATTTGGAGATACTTAAATGTTTTGCTAGACACTGTACGAAATAGGTGTATAATTTGCCACTGCTGTATTTTAAAAGAACAAGGAGACATATATTTTTGCACAGCATTCGGAAGCGTAACATAAATGTTTTTGTGTATGATGTATCATAGTTGTATATTTCCAATATTCTGTTTATTTGAGGGAGAATGAGGTCTGCACTTAGCAGGTCCAGTTTGCTCTGCTCAGCTTTATAAGACGGTACAGAAGAGGAGAGTTTCTAGGACTGCTGTTCTCAGTTGTACATAGTTGTTTAGTTTCAGTCAATGGCCAGTACTTTAAAACGATTACCATACTTAGCACCTTTTTCATCTTTTTGTGTTGTCTGTTTCTGTAAGTGTAAATAATGAGAGCGCAGTGTTGCCTTTGGGAGCCTGAGAAACATGGAGGAGCTTAGTGGTCAGTGTTCACTATAGGAGCTGCTGAATACAATATCTCTTTATTCCAAAGAAAGTCAGGGATGAAGCACAGTATCTTGAGAGAATATATTGTTCCTGTGCCTTTTCCTGCTGTGAGAGTGCTCCACCTTAAATGAACTTGAGCTGTTAATTACCCAGCAGTCCCAGGCTGCTGGTAAAGATCTATAGATGGAACTGCCTGACATTTCTTAAAGCATCGTAGCTCAAAAGTGCAATTGTCTGAAGAAGACATCAAAGTCAAGAGAAATGGGGAATGGAGACAGACGGAAGAGAGACTGTGTAGACATTGGGGCTACTTTCAATGAGATGGGATCATCCCACAGCAAACAAGCTTCAATGCCACCCTGCCTACTGAAATCGTGGAATGGGGAATGGCCTGAAGCTGGCAGCGATGTGAGTGAGTGAAGAAAACTAGGCCCAGTCCAGAACTTGAGAATTGCTCTGGATATTGTAAAACTGAATCAAATTAAAGAGATCAGAGCTGAGAAATAGCCAAGGCTACTTAAAAACAACTGCTCATAATTGCAAAGAGGTTTTTATGAGTGAATTTTGGAAAGAAGAATGCTTTTTGGTTTTTCATAAGACCATTTGACTTGGAACAAGCATAACCGCAGAGTATTGAAGCAGAAAGCAGAAATGGAAACAGCTGAGAATACTTCAGGGAGCTTACCACGATAACTTTAAAGAAGTCAACGAGTATTAGTTCGACGTAGACAAAACAAATCTTAAAATACCATCTCACTGCCTGCAACCAATAATGTTACCATGTCAAAAATGAGATTTTTGTCTGGTAGTGTTTATTTGTGGATATAACTTTAGCCGTACCCAGATGTTTGTAAAGATGATTTTCACATGTGTAATACTTTTTTAGGACAAACTAGCAGCAAGCAAGCACACCTATCAAATAGGTTGCATTGATTTTTGCGCAGTTATCTGAAAAGTTGCACTTTGGGGACTGGGGTTTGTCAGGGAGGGTACAACTGCCATCATAGCTCTCAAAGTAGGAACAAGGCTTTCTGCCAAAGGATCCAGAACATTCCTCAACATCCCAAATGATTAGGAGCTGCTTTTACCTCTATTTTAGGAATAGCTGGGAGACTCACTAACCTGTGTGATGTTTGACTGCAATCTGAAAACGCAGGCCCAAAACCACTTCCATCTGTCCCATGAAAGGGACTGTTGGCCTCACAATTGGGGCTTTCAAATGCAGTCAAAAGAGGTCAAGAAATCTGACAATGGAAACAGGTTTCTCCATTGTTAGATTTTTGCCACTTCTTTTTTTATGAACTGGGAGATACTCTTCAGTTGTGTGGTATTCATGCTAATTTTGGGACACGGAGCATGTGTATATGCTCACACAGGTACAAAAATGTGCCACATACTGAAGCTGTAATGTTTGTTCATTAAAAGTATTATCTGGCCGACTTCATATATTTTCCATATCCAAGATCTAAAGGCCTGCTGCATGTTCAGAAGAATCATGTGTTCCAGTCCTTCTGTAATTGTGCCACTTTTCCATGGGATATATTATGTGGCCAACCATATATAAAAAAACCCAACTCCCTGCATATAGACAACTGGCACATCAGGAGGGAGAGTAGGCCTGAAATGTTCTCCTTGACATGCTAGATTTTCCATGTGCAGGGTTTTGTTTTTTTTATGGGAGTGCATTCAAACATTCAGCCTCGAACACTCCAGGAAGGGCTGAATATTCTGCTTTGTCTCATGCTGTTTCTGTACATTTGGATTGTACGTAAGGCAGGTTCAACTACTCCACCAAAACAGTTGCCATTTAAGGCAATAACCTTAGGATCTGAAGTACCAGCAAAGCAGACTCAACATCCTTGTTCAACATTATCCCCAGAGGATCAATCAATTGCAATCTTTTGACCACTGTGTATAGCTTGTGCGTATAAGGAGATGAAGACCACATTCAGCCTCCTTTCCTCAAGACTAGATCATCCACACATCATCATGGAGATCAATCTGCTTTTCCAGAGCACAATAAGTACAGGACAGACGCAAGCACAATACATTGTTCCAAAGTGGGCTGCATTTGTTGATTAGACATATTGAAAAATTCGCTTTGCCTGGTCATCCCAAGGTCAGGAGCAGAAATCACACAAGCAAATAAGTGGTATTCCCTGTCTCTGTTTTCTTAGTCTGCAAATGTCACATTTATAATTATATTATTTTCTGTGTTGTTTTTGACATTTATATACCTTTGCAGTGTGTTTAAATTAATTACATAATTAATCATGTAGGTTTTGGCCCTGGCAGATGGCAAGATGAATAACTTAGGTTTTAGTGGAAGGCAGACTGAAGTGGAACGGAAACCCCACTGATTGTAATGAGCCCAGGATGGGATGGAAATTTCTGTTTCCTTCCATCACTTCTGTCGAAAGTGCCAGATTACTCAAGTCAAGCAAAACACACTTGGCAACAGGAGCAACCTATATGGCAGAGATCTTACCAATGGCTGTAGCATCATAGAATTGTATATGTGTTGGTAAGCTGGTGGAAAGAAACCTATGTGGAGTATTGTGTTTTTTAAAAAGCATTCCTCTAAAATAATTTGTAGTAATTTGGTATATAAACCAACAGTCATATGAATGCAACCATGCAAACAATAAAATATCACAATAGGCTCACCAATACAATATCCCTGATGATGCAAACAGCATCCATCAATATAAAGGCCTAATTTCCATGCATGTGGACTTTTAGTAGTTCACCTGCATCTTTTCTTACTGAGGATCACGTCTCACATAGAGAGGGGGGAAAGCTTGATAGAGCTGGATGACTGAATATCTAGCAGCAAATTGTAGTTTTATTGCTGGCAGGGATCTGAACCGAATTCACTTTTGCGCAGGGTAGAGTTAATAATTTCAGTTGGGCTGTGTGTATGCAGCCATGTGCAATAAAAACAAACAAACCTGAAATGTTAGTTTAAGTGTGGGTGGTCAAGACGTGCCTTTCTGCAAATTAGCAAGTTGGCTGAAGTCGGCGAGTGTGTTGCAGCATTTAGTGGATGCAACCTTCTATAGCTATGAGTTGGTTCAGCAAAAGACTTCCTTTCTACTTTGTCTCGATAACCACTGAAAAAATGATATGCATGCTCACACATGCACAGACGATAAAAATAATAAGAAACCACATGCTTGACCTTTTTAATAACTGCCTGTTTGTACTGTTGATGATCAATATAATCTCATCAGCCCTCAGTGCCCAGGAGCACTTTGAAGTTAAGTAGGTCGCCCCATGCTGCTGGCAGATCAGGGCAGAGAGAGGACGGCTGAATGGCAGTGCATATTTCCCCAGAGTGGAAGATTTTAATATTTCCTGATGGCTTTATTTGACATAGTAGTCAATGCTTTTATATTCAAGCTTAGTTACTCTTTGTTCCATATGTTACACATGTCCCTTCTGAACTATCATGTCAAATACAGTCCTCTAAAATGGGTCTGTCTCTCTCTCTCTCTCTGATAGATTTGCATGGAGAATTCCCTGTACAGTGGTACCTTGGAAGTCGAACGGAATCCGTTCTGGAAGTCCGTTTGACTTCCAAAACTTTCGGAAACCAAGGCACAGCTGCAGGAAGCTTCTGCAGCCAATCGGAAGCCGCAGAAGTCTTGTCAGATGTTCAGGTTCCAAAGAACGTTCAAAAACCGGAACAATCACTTCTGGTTTTCGATTGTTTGGGAGCCAAAACGTTCGACTCCCAAGACGCTTGAAAACCAAGGTACACCAGTACAGTGGTACCTCAGGATGTGAATGGGATCTGTTCCGGAGCCCCGTTCGCATACTGAAGCGAACACAACGCGCAACTGCGCGTGCCGCGATTCACCGCTTCCGCACATGTGTGTGATGTCATTTTGACTATCTGTGCATGCGCGGGCGGCGAAACCCGGAAGTAACGTGTTCCGTTACTTCCGGGTCGTCACAGAGCGCAACCCGAAAGCGCTCACCCTGAAGCAACTTCAACCTGAGGTATGACTGTACTAAATTGTTATGAAAATAATTTGCACTGTAATCCTATACATACCTACTCAGACGTTAGCCTCATTGAATTCAATAGGACTTATCCTCAGGTACTAACAATACTTTTATTTGTACCCTGCCCATCTGTCTAGGTGGCCCCAGCCACTCTGGGTGACTTCTAGCTGATAAAAAACATAATAAAGCTTCAGACATTAAAAACTACCCTATTCAGGGCTGCCTTCAGGTGTCCTAAAAATTGTATAGTTATTTATCTCCTTGACATCTGATAGGGCATTTCACAGGGCGTGTGCCACTACCGAGAAGGCCCTCTGCCTGATTCCCTGTAACCTCACTTCTGGCAGTGAGGGAACAACCAGAAGGCCCTCAGAGCTGGACCTCAGTGTCCAGGCTACACAATGGGGGTGGAGACATTTCTTCAGATATACAGGGCCAAGGCCATTTAAGTAAGTGTGTATTGGGTTGTATTCTTAACTGGGTAATCCTGGACACATGTTGGCACTTAGTTTATATAATCAGAGTGGTTAAAGAACCGTAAGTGGATATTTTCCTATCTACAACAGCTCTTCATGGAAATAAATTCCCACAGTGCTGATATAAGCATTGCTTTTCATCTAGTTAACAATCTCAGTAATCCTAATGATCACTAACATGGATTAGGTACTACACCACTGTTTAAATATTGTTCTGAAGAGTGGTAAGAGGGCTTTGATCTCCCTGATCCTGTGCTCAACAACATTGTTCAGGCTTTGCAGGGTAACAATTCCCAATTAAGTTATTCTGTGAGTGTTCCTCACAGTTATGGAAAACAGTTTATATGTAACCACAGATGATGCAGAATGGAGATACTGACTTTAGAGGCCCATTGAAGCATGCC